CAGCAAATCAGATTCACAGACACTCAGCAGTAGCAGCCTGGTCCCGAAAGCCTGTAGCTGAAGAACTCTTCATGTCTTCAGCAACAGTTCCATGCAGAAAGCATGCAGGACCAAGCCCCAAATTTGTTAGCAAATAGCGGTGGTACTTACCACTTAGGTGGTAAGTCACTATTTCTTTCACATAAGGTTCGGTGCCGAGAGGTGCTAGTGGCATTCCAACCATAAGTGGATTAAGGACATCCAACGTTAGCGGAACCTAACTTACCAAGGAAAGAGCAAGCCTAACGCACTTTTTTAAACTAGGCTTGTAATTATTTTTAAACCAACCATACAATAGTGTGTTTCTATTTTCATAGCCTGTAGTATTATATCACAGAAAAATGACAGATCTATTGTGAGTAGCATATATAAGTAATATTTTCTAACGAAGTGATGGATGTAATATTAATATACGTAATTGTTTTAAAAAGTAGAAAACGTGTAAAATTACAGACAAAAACCCTGCTCAAGTATACAGCTTGCTTGCTATTACCATTAATGCTGTATGTATTTTTAAACAAGCTATAATACTGTGATGATGCTGTAAACTTACTTCTGTAGGCAAAAAATGTTCTATTTAAAAATGTCAAAATGAAGGATGTAAATGTTCTTAAAGTGCTATCAACTAAAAATATGAATTTTCACAGAATATTTGAAAGGATTCTGTTACATGTTACAGATATATTTTACAAACGTATTTATGGATCATACACACTAGCCTATGTGAGAACAAACAGTACTATTTTATTACAAAATAAATTAATAAATAAGCAGTGAATATCCATGCCCAGAAGCTGGAAAATGTTTTTGTTTTTTTAAGGTACCCAGATCAATTCTATAGGTAATTTGAAAGATAGAGGACCTAGTACATTACTAACAGAAGGTATACACTCCCCCTCATTTCCCAGCCTCCCCCCATACAGATCATGTTGCTGTCAGCGCAGGCAAAGATCTTCAGAATCAGTTGTGGAAGAAAAAGGAACAGTTAGCTAGTTGCATAAAAACAATGCAAATGTAGTATTCATAAGATTAATATATGTATTCACAAAATTAAAAAACATTTTTTAAACACAGTGGCATTTAGAATACCAACTCTGTTGCAGGCAGTAGCAATTTGCACATAGTGTCTAGGTTAGCTCTTATTGAGTGGAGACAATAAAAAGTCATTCTCTGAAAATCATACTGAATGGTAATAAAATTACAATTGGAAGAACGCAAGTATATTTCAAAATGCTTTAAAAATACATAGCTGGAAGCACTCCAGCTCTTGCTGCAGTACGTATGTATGATTTGGAATAACTGCACTGAAAGCTACAAATCAGGTTTTTACTGAAGAAGAATCTGGGCGCTGTGTCAGCTAACAATTTCACGGGGGAACATGATCCCTTCCAGAAGCAAAACCTTGTCCTCAGTGCCACCAGTTTAAAATTTTTGTCAAGCTCCCAATATGAATAAATGGGTTCAGCTCCTCTTCGTGGAAGCTGATGAAACTGGCTATGGTAAAAAACAAACAAACAAACCAACCAAAAAACCCCAACCTGATTCCCGCCACACAACAAAACCATGACTGGGAGATGGATTTATGAAAAGACAGTGGCCCAAAGGGGGCCTGAAGCATTTAAGTTTTTAGTATAGCTTCAGAGAAAAGATTCCAGATTAATGTAAGGACTGCTGCACCAGTGGGACCAGGTTCCACCTGACTCTAGGTGACCTTGCTCAAAAGCAGGGGGCTGGACTAGATCACCTCCAGAGGTCCCTTCCAGCCTCCACCACTCTGTGATTACGTATTTCACAAGTAGCTGGAAATCAGTATTCAAACGTGTTTATCTTTGTTCCCAGTTCATATCCAGGCAAATTAATTGCACTAAAACTTCATTCCCATTCAAACACATTCTAGGAACCTATTGTGAATGAGATGGAAGTTTATCCTAGAGAAGAAACGAATACGAAGTCCCATGCTGCAACAGATGATTAGAAACAAGACTAAGGAATGCCTGAGTCTGGAAGCCAGGTTAATTTTTTTTATAGAGAAAGCTAGGGCAAATGAAAGTGGAAATTACGTTGCTGCAGTCCACAGGAAACTGATTTCAATGATAATTTGAGGAATATAATTTTATCCAAAGGGTCAGTTATAAAGTATAACATCACGAAACCAGTTACCAGCATACACATAATACAAAACAACGTATGTACAAATACAGAAGGGTTTTTCGTATAAAGTTCAGAGCAATAAACTCTTCTATGTCACAAATCATTCAGAAGATTAAATAATGCAACTATGTGTAGCATGAAAGCTAGAAAGCGAAAGCTCCAAAGTACTTGTAATAGGCAGACTGATTTATTTCAGTACTACAGCTGCTTACCATATGAATCACCCTTGATCCACCTCGCTCCTTTTATGCTCCAGCAAGCACAAACAATTGAGCAGATGAATAAATATTTCTCGATCATAGTTTTAGAGTGTTTCTTTGGATCAAAAGAAAAATCTGCTGCTGAGGAAGGGGGGCGGGGGGGAAGCTCCTGTGAGGGGAAAAAGGAATAGACATGATCTACTTTTTTTTTTCCCTACATCCTCCATGTCAGAATTTTTGGATCTCTAGTCTCAAACACTGCAGGATTTTAAAATAAATCATTTAGAGACTCAGATCATTCATTCCATTGTACATCCCTAATAGCTGCTACAAGAAAGCAGAAGACAAACACTCAGAGATCTCAGAGCTATTCTTGATTTGAAAAAAAAAAAAAAAAAAAAAACTGTAGTGAGCAGTAGGAAAACGCATGCAACAGAGACAAGCAAAATACGCTTTGATTTTCAGAGGAGCTATCTGAATTGTCTTTGTTACACTTATGCAAACAAGAACCGTACAGCCACTGTGCTGTGTGAGTATGAATACTATTTTACAGACAAATATTGTCAGATACCTAACCCAAATAGCTCATAGTTCAACACACATAAAGGCTTGACAAGTGTTGCAAAGACATATTTCAGTATTTCTAGAAAGCCTCTATGTACTGAAAGCAAAAATATCAAAACGTTGTCTTTTACTTATAAAAATAATCAACCAATATTTAGAGTCCTGGAACTCACTTTCTGTGGTTTTTGTAAGGGCTGAAAGCTGTGTTCATTGGCAGTAACAACAAAATTACATTTTCAAAGGATTCAATTCCTGATCACCACACTTCTGTGTCTGACAGTCCTTATGAGACTTCACATGGAATAATGGGCGTCCTTTGCCTAGTGTTAGTCAGATTGCTAGAGACTTTGAAAGACTGGAGAGAAACAGGGAGTGTAGTCCAAAGCAAATAAGGAACAGAGATGGAATATCTAAAAAGAAAAGGTTTATAAGACTGGAAGGTAGGAGATTTAAGGGATTTAAACATTTCTAAGGATTATAGAGTAATGGGAAGAAATAAGCAGCCGTTTATTCATTATATAGGTAGCTATGTAATCTGCAGTGACAATTTAAAAGTTAAAGCCAAGCTTAGGGGAATATTTTCGATGGACTATTAAAGCTGCTGTTTACAAGAAACCAGAATAAACTGCCGATGAAGCAGTGAGGACAGCTAGCTTTGAACAACTTAGGGCTGTGTTATGTTTTCACTTGGGGCTTGACCTACTCAGGATCAACTCCCAGTGAAATCATTCAAGGTAGGTTTTTAAGCACCAAAAGACAGATATTCCCTAAGGTAGGTGGGCCTACGTACCCCTATATCCTAGCATTTCTTTTCAGGTTTTCCATTGATTTGTGGGAAGTGAAAACAAGAGGCTAACCAGCCCTCCAGCACTCCTATAAACAATATATGGCGTACAAAAGAAAATAACTATATGGGTATAAAATACAAAACCAACTTGAACAATACATATTCTTGTCCCAAAATGGGAAAATAAAATGCAACAGTAACATTTAATCCTATTAGCTTTGTAACAAAAGCTCAGTAAGAGTTCATAGATAAGGATATTCCTTCAAGATTTCCACAGCCTTCAGAGATCTAAATGCACAGAAGTCAGGAAACTGGAGACTGGTGAGAGTCAGTAACTTTGACTCACGTAAGTCCCAACAGCCACAAGGTCACTGCAAGAGCAATGCAATGAGCTCTTGCTGTCAGCAGTAATCAGAAAGGTGGGCTGCATTTGTGCCCACAGATCAGCATACACCTTCTGAGGCTACAATGAAGATGATTTCATTGTCTAACCCACTGAGATCCTGAGCATAAAGCCATTTTATTTGGACACGTACGGAATACCAATCTTTCACCGAGATACATTCTTTGAAAGACAGTCACTTTGCCATCTTGAAAAATCACAGAAAATTACAACAAATTCCAAAGTATATTCAAAAAACAGTCAAAAATATTATTTGGCATCTTATTCCAATTTTAATCTATGTTGTTTTTTATCTTTCTAGACACCTATCCTATATAGGCTCTATGATTAATTTATTATCATTCCTTGTCCTGTTGGCATCCTCAGTCTTGCTGATTAATTTCTGTTATAGTCTCATTATTTCAGTTCTATAAATACCCCATTTCATTTTACTCCTTTCTATAGTTATTTTGCAACCTTCTTTTTCTCCTCCACCTGGGGCTCTCACTTTCAATTTAACATGAGACAGTGGGCAAAGATTGAGCTGAAATCCAGTAATTACACCTCCCTGCCCCGAAAAACGGAATCATTTATTTTTCTTACAGATGGAAGCAGCTGTGAGCTGCTCTGAAATCCCAAAAGCAATCCCACAAAAAACAATACTTATTACTTGTCAGATTAATAATAGAAAGTGTTGGCTTCCATAATTTGAAAAACATATATAGTTGGATTACAATATATTGCAACATTTGCATTTAGGAAGAATAAAGAGTTGAATCATAACCCAGACGCCAGCATGCTGGGCATATCTGGTTCCACCTGCAAGAATATTAAACCACCACCGAATTCATCACTGACAAAACAGGTTATATCCACAGTCGTTGGCATTCAGTACATGACTGCCCACAGAAGAGTCTCCCAGTTCTTTATGTCCTTGAGTTACGTTTACTACTTTCAGGCCTTACATTTTCTGACGTTTCAGCCTTTGCCATAAGTTCCTGGGATCCTCTGAAGGTTTGGGAAAGCTTCTGAGTGCTTCTCCTATAAGTGTAAGCACATCCTGAAATAAAAAGGAAACATGGAAATTACTTGGTTTTGTATTCCTGCCATTTCTCATGTCCTGTATCACAGGCCTACCATCAGCAGCTACATCCAATCCCTCAAAAGCAACTAGGTAGGCAGCACTCATCAGCACGATTCTGCTGGATTTTTAAAGCATCCTGTTTAAAAAACTTTGTTGAACATTGTGGCCAGTGATCTGCCCCATAAAGCAGGTTTCTTCCCTAAGGAGAGAAAGGAAAAAGCAGCTGACCTTTTCAGGGAAGCTGGGAGAAAAACAAGAGAAAAAAAGTGAAGCCTCACTTGAGACTGTTCTCAAATCTTAGGTATGGAGTGAATGGGAGTAAAAAAAAATCAGGAGACTGGCATTATTAGGTAAAAAAAGAACATGTACAGCGCACAAATTCCCACCCTGCTCACAAACGCAGAAAGACAGATCTCAGGGCTTCAGAGAGCACTACTTATCCGTTGCTCAGAAACAACCTGCTTTCAATCTGACTCCCTTTCAAAAAGCGAGAGAAGAGTTCTTCCCTCAGGAAGAAGATCATCCTGAGGAATAACCACAGAAGACCCAAGGAATTCCGTAAGTTTCAGCTTACATTGCCTACCATCTATTCCAGAGGTATTTCCTAACAATAAAGCTTGAATCTTTGTGACAGCAGACACAGACAGAAGACAGTTCTTCCAAGAAGAAATAGCGTTATCTGAGAGGCCTTAGCCTCCATAACATGTTGCAGTGTCCTATTCTGAGACTCCTACGCCAAAGGACGAGAAAGGAAGACTAGCATGGGCATAGTTACCTACTATCACATCACTTTGTTATTTACCATTTTGTCTTGGACAGCCCATCAGAAAACAAACTGTGGAGAAATAATCAAGATGTACCCAAAGCAATTCTAGGACATCCTGGGAAAGACCTTCAGCTTATATAAACCAGGCAAGCTCAAATGACTTGATCGGTATGTTAGTCCCAAGCATTTTATTAATTATATGGAGCCAAATTCTGTTTTGACTTGCACTGCATTTAGGACAATCTGATCTCACTGCCATAAATCAGAGGGAAACCTGGCTTACGGATTCTTTAGTTACAGTACGTATAAAATGTACCACAACTTTTTTTTAACAACATTTGCTTACTCTGGAGTAAATCTGTTCTTCCAATTTCTCTTGGATTAAAGCACTTTCCATTAGCATCTTCTTTCGTCTGAGAAAGGTAGTCTTGGCTAGCTCTGCTTTCTTCTTCTGACAGTCAGGGCACACTGAAGATTCGTGGATTTGAGCTTCTGTCACCTGAAAGATGAGACTTTGATGCAATGAGCAATGTCTGTCCTAGCCAGATGGCCGCTCCATTAAAAACCATCAATAAAAACACAGATACAGATACTGTCTAAAGACAAAAATTTGCTTTTGTAGGCAGTTGTAAATTATTTCATAATCTTTGTCACAGTATCATCTTGATGAGTCTGTCTGAATGTTTTCATGCTCAATATATTTGCTCTTCCCCAGGTATTACCCCTTCCAGCACTGATAACTTAGTTTCATCAAAATTATCTACTTTATCTCAGAACCATAGCACTGATCTGTAATATACTATTTCTTCTTGTAACAGGCAAAGTTTCCCCAATGCTTGAGGTTGCATGGACATTACTGACTGCTTCCACAGAAACTGTAACAGTTTAAAAAAAAAAAAAAAAAAAAAGTCATGTGATTGCAAAGCAACACATTGGTGACCAGCCAAAACCAACTGTGAGGATACAGTTATACTGGCAAAAAATTTCTTTTAATTAGTATGACTCATTTGACCCTGGGTGGATGCTCAGTACAAATTACAATTTTGCCAGTGTAAACCTGTACATATTTTGCCGGTGTGAAATATGTTTAGAGCACCACCAGCCGTTAGTTACTCTTGCTTAATGAGTACCTGATGTTCCAGGAAGCCAGTCTGTGCATGCTAACCAGACTTCCACAACAGCAAATACACTAACTCCTGAAGGCTCAATTAAGTTAAATTAACGTGTTTTACTCCACATTTCAAATACTTGATCATCAAAACTCAGTAACAGCAATTGTTAATCAGCAATAATTCCCACCACCTATAACTGCCTGTCTGTAATGAGGCTATGGGAACAGCAGTGTTCCTATGCTGACAGTATACATAAGGCCTTCATAGAGGTTACGATTACCTTTACAAATTTTAAGAGGTAAATAAACTCTGAAGCAATTAGTTTAAATATCTATCTGCAGCTCTCAGTCAGAATACAAACAAAATTCTACAATTTTCTTTGTAAGATAAACAGTACCACTTATTAATTCCTATGTTAGTTTATCCACCATGAAGTCTTAAGAGTATTTAATAGCGTTACACAAATCCCAGTATTTGTGCATTTATGAAATAGCAATAATTTTATCTGATTTAATTTACACAGATTCCATCTGGTTACATAAACACAATAAGCTGCTACAAAAGCAGTGGAATCAATCCTAGAAAGTCATGTCTCAAGCCTCTCTGTCTTCTTCTCCCTTGACTACTCCTCTGCATAAAAATGTTACTACGTGGAGGTAAAGACAGAAGCAAACAGACATAGCAGTCAAAGTTACTCTTCTTTGAAAATGTATTACCACACCATATGACAAATAACCGTATGACAAATAAAGAGGCGGTAAAAATTCTCCAAAATTTGGATGGTGGGTTGGTTAACATTAATACCATGGAAGAATGCAGATTGCTGAAACTTCAGCAAAAAAAATTGAAACAGGAAGCCTGAAATAATCATCACGCCAGAACTGACTTTAAAAGTATTACTCCCTGCTCACCTAGCACAGGCTTTGCAGAGGAGTATGTTATCACTTTTACTATGTTATACGGCAATAAATTAAAGCCAGCAAATGTGATAGAGATAAAACAAAATAAATGACTGTAATTATTATTCAAAGCTCATTTTTTGTTTTATCAGAAATACTTTCCCAGATGCAGACATTCTGTACCAATTTCAGACAAAGTACAGACATTTGCCAAGGCCCAGATTTAGGGGTGAAGGCATCTGTGGGCAATGGTCACTACTCAAATCCACATAACCACATATTCAAATCCACCTGCAAGCACAAAGCAAGAATGCAAGTATCATTGGCCAAAAAAAGTACCAGTCTTGAGACTCTTAGATGCAGAGCTGAAGGGAGGAGCTGGGTCACAATGCCTATGCTACGGTAGGGAAAAAAACACTGGGCTGGTGAAAAAGAAAAGCACTCTGAATTGTGTAAAGATAATACAGATGCTTCTTAATAAAGGAACTGATGTAATCAAAATTCTACTGGACATGCTTTAATTCTTAATATTACCTAATGTCTAAGAAAGCTGGGAGAGGGGGGTAGGTTTTGCCTTTGGAATACTTCCAATACTGGAGTCAAAGACTCCACAATCAAGTAATATGCAAAATACTTCTACAAATAACAGGTGCAGATGTAACCAGAAAACGAGGCACTTCAGTTGATCCAGGGCTTATTGTGGACTGCAATAACCGACCATCCCAGCCTCGCTCAATCACAAAGATCATTATTTTATCACCAGACAATATTTTACAACGATTTGGTTATTTACTAGCAACAGTTCTGCAGTAGTGTCTAACAAAAAGATGAGAAAGGTAAATCTTGAGATATCAAGCAAAAACCTCTTTCAGAGGCCTGAGCGTGGCATCAGTAAGGTCTGCCTGATTTGATCCTTACATTACAGCTTTTTTTCCCAGTGGTTCTCCCAAAAGCGTAGGCAAAATCTAAATTTTTTTCTTCCTTGCAGTACCTGTTTAACAGTCTCTCCGATATTTTTCAGGCGGATTCTGTTCATTAGCTGGTCAGGAACAACGCAGTTCAAGTCACTTGTCTCTGGTTTCTTCGCTGTGAATCCATGCTGCAGCTTTCTTGACTTGCCACCATTTGCCTGCTTAGAGACCAGCTGCTGACGCATCTTGCTTATCTTAATGGTGCAAAAAGACTGGAGAGCATCCAGTTCTCCATCTAATAATTCAGTAATTTCTGTCAGGCATAAATCAACAAAACAAAAGTGTCAATTACTGTATCAGGAAAAGAGAAGAATTACTGGTCTTCTATCTGTGCGACCTCATATTATCTATCTAATAAAAAAACAAATCCAATGTCAAGCCTAGAGGCAATGACTATAATAACAGCAGTGCAGAATTTAAATAAAAATCTGGATGATAACTGCACGAACTTGCACACTGAATGTCTCCATGAATAGTCTCCAAAGAGGGGAGCCTGGTTTTGGTTGGGATAGAGTTAATTTCCTTCCTAGTAGCTGGTACAGTGCTGTGTTTTGGATTTAGGATGACAATAATGGTGATAACCCACAGATGTTTCAGTTGTTGCTGAGCAGTGCTTACACTAGTCAAGGACTTTTCAGCTTCTCATGCTCTACCGACTGAGAAGGCTGGAGGTGCACAAGAAGCTGGGAGGGGGCACAGCCAAACTGGCCAAAGGTACATTCTATACCATGGGACGTCATGCTCAGTACATAAACTGGGGGAAAGCTGGCTGGGGGGGCCACTGCTTGGGGACTGGCTGGGCATTGGTCAGCAGGTGGTGAGAAATTGCATTGTGCATCACTTG